ACTGGGTCCCAGGTCAATGTCTCCTACAAAGGAAAAAAGGGTTTTGTTATTAACCTTTTATCCACATTCTACAAAAGAAAATCCAAGAAACAGTGGAACCAACCTAGATACAAAAGAAAAAGAAATTTTAAGATCACAGCTAGAGAGTAGGCCTAAGAAGCAGTCTGTTAAAAAATGAAACAGTGACCAAACAGAAGCTTCTAAAACAAGGAAAAGAAAAGCAACTAGGAACTCCAGAAAAACAAAGAGCTGGAGATAAAGCTTTTTATTTATCATTTGTGGAATAATTCTGAGCACTTGTAAGAAAATCAAATGTACTTGATCTGAACACAGTACAGTTCTTCCAAGAGGGGTATAATTTCAGCGACATTGAATATTTCCCTCGCTACAGACCTGTAGTGAACAATGTTTATGTGGTCATGTTATTATACTGAGTTCTCAGTAGCTTTTCCTTTTTAGGATCGATTTATACTTAACACATAGAAGATATAACTGTAAGTTACAGAACAGAAAAATCAGTATCATAAATATTTATGATGTCAATGTGGCAGGATAGTTAATAGAAGATGGGGAGAGACAGAGAAATGAAGGGATGGAAATTTCTTTATTAACATAGAAAGCAGTCAAGAAATCCTGTCCACAACTGATGTATCAAAAAACAGAGGTTTCAGTATATTGTTTAATTTTAACAGGTAAGTAATAGCAGAACGACAACAAAAAAACCTAAACTAACAAAAATAAGGGGTACTGCCCTTATTTGTGTGACTCAGATGGGTAGTTCGGGCAGGATGGGTAGTTCATCTGGTTCGAGCATCATCCCAGTGCGCCAAGGTTGGGAATGTGCTTCCCAGTCAGGGCACATATAAGAATCAACCAGAGAACGCATAAATAAGCAGTTGCTTCTGAGGAATGGAACAGAAGATGGGAAGGTAAAATTTTACTTTTCACTTACATGTTTTCTATTGTTTAAATTAATTTTCCATGTGCATGCTTTACACTGATAATTAAAAAACTGATGTCTATATCTTACTGTATTGATACAGACTTAGGATTCAATGATTTAGAAACTGCAGAAAATGAATAAAAAATTGGAAAGTGAGGTTTTTTGAAATAAGGCTAAAGGGTACAGGATTAGATTATGTACAAAAAGGGGAGGTAAAATGTAATTTTATAAAGTCAGTCAATACACTTGAGACAACATAGATAAACCTTGAGGGCATTATGCTAAGTGAAATAAATCAGAAAGAAAAAACAAATACCAAATTTGGACTTATATGTGGACTCTAAACAAACAAACAAAAATGAACTCAAAGAAACAGAAAAGATAAGTGGTTGCCAGGGGCAATGGGATGGGGTAAGGAAATAGATGAAAGTGGTCAAGAGGTACAAACCTCCAGTTAGAAGAGAAGTCCTGGGGAGGTGATGTTCAGCATCGTGATTACAATGACAATTCTAAATAGTAATCGAAAGTGCTAAGAGATGGATATGTGAGCTAAACTTACTGTGGTAATCGTTTTTAATACATACATATATGAAATCATTACATTGTATATCCTGAACTTACACAGTGTTATATATTAATTATATCTCAATAATGCTGGGGAAAACCAAAATCATTCAATATAAAAACAGAGTTCTCTATAACAGAAAATGAGCCTTTACTCTAAAAGCAAAGAACTTAAGGTACTAATACAGGAACGCACACACGCCAACCCCCAAAGAGCAGAAGGACTTACAGGGAACACTGGAGCCGCTCATTCCCTAGGGATTTTTCAGAGGGACCGTAACAATCTGCCCTCACATTATGTCTTGCTTATCAGGAGGCAGAGCTGTGATCTATAAAGATCCTATAGAATTTTATTTATAACATGACTCACATTCTTTATTTCAATTAAAAGCAAGCTACAATACTTGGAGCTAATAGACTCCTTTGGAGTATACTAAATAGGAAAGGCTTTCTTTTTTTAAATCAGATCTGCATATCTTCTATTATAATTCTTAAGACTTAACACAAAAATGGGAGACACAGTAGACTGAGGTTATGCCTGTAAACATAAAATCACAACATTCGGTTCCAGTGATTCCTGGAGGGTTGACAGGCACCTGACTTCTTGCTACTACTCTTGTTCTCTTCATATATTATTTATTTATTAACTTATAAAACACTGCTGTAGCATCTCAGTGCTAGCATACAAAGTTAAAAACATATAAATTATTTACATCCATCAGCTAATGGAAAGAGAAAAGAAAAAAGAAAAAAAGATGTTGATAACTTAATGCAAACCTACTAGGAAAGGGTCTAATGAATGAATGAATTCTTGAATCAAGAAAAAACACTTAAGTAAATATAAAATAGTTATGTATGTACCTAATCAGTAGGTACAGAATTAGTCAGCTAATTCTTATTTTAAAAAACCACATTGTAGAACACCTTCAACAGGGGATCATAAGAGAAAGAAGTAAGGAATCCAATTTATAATACATGAAATGACGAGATGGGTGATGGAGACCAGTGAGATGGGTGATGGAGACCAGTGAGATGCGTAAAAGACGACAAGCCCTGAGGAAGCAGAGGATCTGGCCTGTGAGCTGTACAGCCAATAAGTAATGACTCTGGAAAGATGAATGGGCTACTGCTCGTGGGCCTTGCAGGCCTTCCTCTTATATAAAAAGAGTTCTGGGAGCTTGGAAACAAACCCCCTCATTTACTAGTTTTCATCATCTATCTTGGTTTAGTGTTTTTTTTTTTTTAAACTAATGCTAGGAGGCAATGCAATACAGTAGAAAGAAGCTTTCATTTTCTCCTTTTAAAATGGAGACAATATCCCACAAGGTGTTTTGTATTCAGGACAAAATAAGATAAAATACGTAAAGTACTAGAATACTAATTATTACATAATTGTTAGTTTTCTTCTGCTATGTCAGAGATGGCTATGAGATTGTGCCTCAATGAGAAGTCACTGCCCAGCCAGGAACTGATCATATTTCCCAGCCCTACTAGTGTGACTGCGTTAACTGACGACTTCTCTCTGGGGTAATGCAAGTGGAAGGGGTGTTCACAAAGCCCAGGCCCAGGCTGTTCAGAACCAACCAGATATACCTTCCTTCTGTTCTTTCCCCAGCTGCCAGTTACACACAGGTGATGCTGATAAGGCCCCAAGTGATGGCGGAGCCACAGGAAAGATGATGCCTGGGCTCTCCTCCATCACCTGTGGAGAACAGCCACATGACAAACGAATGCCCATAATGACTGTTACATGACTGAGAAATGAACTATTGTGTTAAGCCATTGAAACGTTGAAGTCACTATTTGTTACAGTAGCAAGTATTACCCTAACCAATATAAACATGCCACATGATAACACTATGATAATGGTGAAGGTGTCAGACATTGCATCAAACAAGCCATCATTAATGCAATTATAAAATCTTGGCCAAACAGTACATGAAAAGATGTTCAACATCATTAGCCATCAATAAAATACAAATCGAAACATAGTAAGATGCTACTTCGTTTCCACTAGGATGGCTATGAACAAGAAGATAGACAATGACAAGTACTGGAAAGAATGTGGAGAAATTGGAATCTTCACACATTGCTGGTGGAAATGCAAAATGGTGTAGCAGTTGTGGAGAAGTTTGGCAGTTCCTAAAGGAATTTAAACATAGTTACCATGTCACCTTTCAATTCTACTCCAATTCTAGGTATATACCCAAGAGAACTAAAAACAGATATTCACACAAAAACTTGTATGGGAATGTTCAAAGCAGCACATTAGCTTAAAAGCGAAATAATTCAAATGTTCATCAACTGATAAATGGATAAAGTATGATATATACATATATATTTTCATATGATGAAATATTATTCAGTTATTAAAAGGAATGAACTGCTGATACATGCTGTAACATAAATGAACCTGGAAAAAAATTACACTATGTGAAAGAAGCTGGGAACAAAAGATCACTTACTATGACTCCAAATATATGAACAATCCAGAATATACAAATCCATAGAAACAGAAAGTAGACTGTTGGAGGCTGAAGGAGCTGGAGGAAAATGGAGAGACTGCTGACGGGTAGGTTTCTTTTGGGGGTGATAAAAATGTTTTACAATGTTACATGGTAGTGGTTACATGGAGAATATACTAAAAACCACAGAACTGTATGGTTTAAAAGGGTGAAATTTATGGCTTGGGCATCATTATCTCAATTTTTAAAAATCTCAGCTGTTTGCTTTATCTTGCCTTTCAGAGAATCTGCCTCTACACTGAAAAGTGCTGTGTTCTTCTCATGTAATGGCTGGAAAAGAGTATGAGGGAACCCTCCAGATACTAATTTTGATCTGGGTAGTAGCTACATAGGTATATACACATGTACATATTCATCCTAGGCATGACCCTATGGTCAGAACTAGCAGAACCCTTCCTCCTGGCTTTCCCCACAACCAGGTTAAGCTCAAACAGACCCAATACCCCATGAACAAAATGCTTCATTCGCCTATAAAAAACCCAAGGTACAAGCTTTTCTTAGTTTGAATAACAGTGTAGCTAACACAGAGATGAGATAAATATTAAAAGCTACCCCTGAGAATGGCATGAGGGTGGAGAATAGGATAGAGTCCCAGAATAACTACTAAAGTGTGTATTGCATCAGCAAAATTCTCTAAGGAAGAAACAAGTCCTAAAGGGGTAGTGTTGGGATGTGGGGGAGGACACAAGACAGAATTGCAGATGGAAAATACTTTTTCCACCCTGTTTAGGTGCCTGCCATCTTCAAAAATCAAGTTCGAATCACAAAATAAGGAGAGCTTGTTTGGTCTTATAATGTAAAATCTCATCTAAGTACTTAATAGTCAAAACTGAAGTGATTATCAGAATGTTTTCAAATTCTAAATAAGATAAAATTTGGTGATTCTATGAATCTTCCTTTGGACCTTCTGAATGCATTGGAAAGACTGTCTTTAAGTTGGAATAAATTCCTCAAAGGACGTCACTTACTTGCAGGAGACTTTAGTTCTGTCAGCCACCATGGTCCATTGCTGCTGATTGGTGGAAACCTCAATGTAGTAGCTGTAGCTGCGATCATCACAGTCCCAAAGCAACAACCTGAATAAAGGGAAAACATAAGAATGCTGTGAAATGTTCTAACTGGCTATTTTCCTTAGGCTGCAAGCATGAAGGGATCATGCCTCTCTCCCTCCTCCTGCTGCCTTCGCCCCACCATACTTTTGGGACAGGAGGAAGTAAGTACCAATAAACCCCAAACAAAAGTTTGATGAGAGAAGGTAGAGTCAATCTGCAGCAGGAGGTTTGTCTCTTTAGGACTTTATTTCACAACTCACCCAAACCCAGCCAGTCTCTGTCCCTCAAGTGGCAAAGCTCTTCTGACTCGTTTATCAGGGAAAAGATGTCAGCAAATCTTCTCCCTAATTCCTTGGCTGGCTATGCCGACTGAAGGTAATATCCTGAGAGCACTGTTTATAGGGGGATCTGTGCTTTCTAATTAATTGGTAGTGTCACAATAACCTAATTATCACGTTCAGGTTCCTTGTCATTATTACCAAACTCTCTGTTTGCAGCTCTTTGGTAAGATTATCTGATTTGGACATACAGGAAAACACATTCATTAGTAAAACTTTCCTATTATTTAAAAATTGCTTATCTGGTCCTGTTATTCTTATCCCCTGCCCCCCTTTTAGCCCAGATAAGAACCTAAGATACATGATTCCATGTCCACAAAGCTCAAAAGAGATAAAATGTATATATGGTGATGGAAATGAGAACAGCAGTTGTCTCATGGGGTGGCAATGACTAGGACAGGCTGTAAGGGAACCTCTGGGACATCAGAAATGTGCTGATTGTGATCTGAGTGGCAGTTATATGAAAATATTCATCGAGCTATACTTTAAAATCTGTACACTGTATCTATATTATTCCTCAATTTAAAAAATAGAATTAAAAAAAAGAACTCAAGCATTGCAATACAGGATCAGACTATAGTCCAATGTTCTGCCTGGCATTGCCACAATGGTGGGGACTCACTGTTTTCTACTATCCCAGCCTCATTACTCCTTCTGACACAATGTCTACTCTACTGTTTTATTAAAGCTGCTCATGCATATTTGTTTCCTCCACCAACTAGAAAGCTAGTGAGTTCCCTGAAGGCAGTACCTATGTCTTATGGGTTTTTCTTTTTATTTATTTATTTTTAAATTTTTATTGAATTTACTGGATGACACTGGTTAATACAATTACATAGGTTTTAAGTGTACAATTCTATATCTCTTATATAGTGTACTGTGTGTTCACCGCCAAAAGACAAGTCTCCTTCCATCACCACTTATCAAACTTTTACCCTCTTCTACTTGCCCCCTCTTTCCCTCCCATACAGTTGTCTGTGTCTGTGAGTTTGGTTTTTTTGCTTAATTCCTTCACCTTTTCACCCAGCCTCCCAACCCTCCCCCACACTTGACAGCTGTCGGTCTGTTCTCTGTATCTATGAGTCTTTTTCTATTGTTAGTTTATTTTGTTCATTAGATTCCACATATAAGTGAAATCATATGGCACTTGTCTTTCTCTGACTAGCTTATTTCCCTTAGCATAAGCCCCTCCAAGTCCATCTATGCTGTTGTAAAAGATAAGATTTCCTTCTCTTTTTTTTTTTTTTTGCTGAGGAGTATTCCACTGTGTAAATGTACCACAGCCTTTTTTATCCACTCATCTACTGGTGGGCACTTGGTCAGCTTCCAAATCTTGCAATGAACATAGGGGTGCATTTATTCTTTCAAATTACTATTTTGGGTTTCTTCAACTATATCTCCAGAAATGAAATTGTTAGGTCATAAGATAGGTCCATTTTTAATTTTTTGAGGAAAAGTTTCCAACAGTGGCTGAATCAATCTGCCTTCCAACCAACAGTGCACTAAGGTTCCCTTTTCTCCAAATCCTCTCCAGCACTTGTTGTGTGTTACTTTATTAATGGTAGCCATTCTGACATTGTGGTTTTAATTTGTATATCTCTGATGATTAGTGACATTGAACATCTTTTTATATGCCTATTGGCTATACGTATACTCTCTCTGGAAAAGTGTCTATTCAGGTCCTTTCCCCATTTTTTAATCCAACTGTTTGTTTTTTGGTGTTGAGTTTTGTAAGTAGTTTATAAATTTTGTATATTAACCCATTATCAGATGTATTGGAGAATATGTTCTCCCATTCAGTGGGTTCTCTTTTCATTTGGATGATTCCTTTGCTGTGCCAAAATTAGCTTGCTGTAGTTCTATTTCATTTTTTCTTTTGTTTCCCTTGTGGAGGAGATATATCAGAAAAAATAATGCTATGAGAAAAGTCTGATATTTTACTGCCAATATTTTCTTCTAAGATTTTATGGTTTTAAGTCTAACATTTGAGTCTTTAATACATTTTGAGTTTATTCTTATGTATGGTGTATGAAGGTGGTCTATCTACTTTTTTGCATGTATCTGTCCAATTTTCTCAACACTACTTATTGAACAGACTGTCTTTACTACATTTTATGTTCTTGCCTCCTTTGTCAAATATTAACTGACCATAAAGGTGTGGGTTTATTTTCAGACTGTCTATTCTGTTCCACTAATCTATATGTTTGTTTTTAAGCCAGTACCATGCTGTTTTTAAAAGATTCAATTTCTTTTTAGAGAAAGAGGGGAATGGAGGAAACAAATGAGGGAGAGAAATAGCAATGTAAGAAACATTGATTGGTTGCCTATTGTATGCGCCCCAACAGGGGACAAACCCACAACCCATGAATGTGCCCTGATCAGGAATCAAACCAGTGACTTTTTGCTTTGTGGGACAATAAGCAAACAACTGAGCCACACTGGTCAGGGCAGTACTATGCTGTTTTGATTACTAGGGCCTTGTAGTATAGTTTAATATAAGGTAGCATATTTTTTCCAACTTTGTTCTTTCTCAGGATTGTTATGGATATTCAAGGTCTTTTGTGGTTCTATATACATTTTTGGAATATTTGTTCTAGTTCTGTGAAATATGCCATTTGGTATCTTCATAGGAATTGTGTTGAATCTATAGATTGCTTTGGGTATTATGAACTGTTTAAAAATATATATTTTTTTAGCCTGGCTGCTGTAGCTCAGTGGATTGAATGAGGGCCTGCAAACCAAACAACCATGGTATGATTCCCAATCAGGGCACATGCCTGGGTTGCAGGCCAGTTCCCAGTAGGGGACGCACGAGAGGCAACCATACATTGGTATTTCTCTCCCTCTCCCCTTTCCTTCCCTTCTAAAGATATATAAATAAAATCTTTAAAAAAATATATTTTTTTATCTTGCGAGTTCTTTTTTTTCAAGTATAGTTATCTTCATTTTTCCCCCACCACTCTCCACCCACCCCAGCCATCCCCACCTCCTACCCTTGATAATAGCCCTTTTTGGCTTTGTCCATGTGTCCTTTGTACATTTTCTTTGACAACCCTTCCCCCTTTTTCCCCTCATTATCCTCTCCCATCTCCCCTATGGTTACTGTCAGATTGTTCTTAATTTCAGTGTCTCTGGTTATATTTTGCTTGCTTGTTTTGTTGATTAGGTTCCTTTTAATGGTGAGATCATATGGTATTTGTCCCTCATCACCTGGCTTATTTCACTTAGCATAATGCTCTCCAGTTCCATCCATGCTGTCACAAAGAGTAGGAGTTCCTTCTTTCTTTCTGCTGTGTAGTATATTCCATTGTGTAAATGTACCACCATTTTTTGATCCACTCATTTACTGATGGGCACATAGGTTGCTTCCAACACTTGGCTATTGTAAATTGTACTGCTGTGAATATTGGGGTGCATAGGTTCTTTTGAATTGGTGTTTCAGGATTCTTAGAGTATAATCCCAGCAGTGGAATTGGTGGGTCAAAAGGCAGTTCCATTTTTAGTTTTCTGAGGAAATTCCATACTGTTTTCCACAGTGGCTGCACTAGTCTGCATTCCCTCCAACACTGTACTAGGGTTCCCTTTTCTCTATATCCTCTCCAACACTTGTTTATTGATTTGTTTATGATGGCCATTCTGACTGGTGTGAAGTGGTATCTCATTGTGCTTTTAATTTGCATCTCTCTGATGGGCAATGTTGCTGAGCATCCTTTCATATGTCTCTGGGCCCTCTGTGTGTCCTCCTTGGAGAAGGGTCTGTTCAAGTCTTTTACCCAATTTTTAACTGGGTTGTTTGTCTTCCTGAAGTGGAGTTGCGTGAGTTTTTATATATTTTGGAGATCAAACCCTTGTCCAAAGTGTCTTCTGCAAATATGTTTTCCCATACAGTTGGTTCCATTTTCATTTTGCTGATGGTTTCTTTAGCCATGCAGAAGCTTTTTATTTTGGTGAAGTGCCATTTATTTATTCTTTCCTTTATGTTCATTGCTCTACGGGACAATATCTGACATTTTCCTCCCTATGTCCTCCTCTAGGACATTTATGGTGTTATGACTTATATTTAAGTCTTTTATCCATCTTGAGTTTATTTCTGTACATGGTGTAAGTTGGTGGTTGAGTTTCATTTTTTTGCACGTAGCTGTCCAGATCTCCCAATACTGTTTGTTGAAGAGGCTATTTTTACTCCTTTTTATGTTGCTGCCCCCTTTGTCAAATATTAATTGACCATAGAGACTTGGGTTTATTTCTGGGCTCTATTCTGTTCCATTGATCTATGTGTCTGTTCTTATGCTAGTACTATACTCTTTTGACTACTGTGGCCTTCTAATATAGTTTGATATTAGGTATTGTGATCTCTCCTACTCTGTTCTTCTTTCTCAAAATTGCTGCCACTATTCGGGGTTTTTATGGTTTCATATACGTTTTTGAAATGTTTGTTCTATATCTGCGAAATATGTCATTGATATTTTAATAGGGATTGTGTTGAATCTACAGGTAGTGTGAATGTTTTAATGATTTTAACTCTTTCTATCCATGAGTATGGTATGTGCTTCCACTTATCTGTATCCTCTCCAATTTCTCTCCTCAGTGTCTTATAAATTTCCAAGTTCAGGTCTTTTACATCCTTGGTTGAATTTATTCCTAGGTATTTTATTACTTTTTAAATTTTTTTCTATTGTATTTTTT